TGTGGGATCCGAACCGGGGTTCTCTGGCGTCCCAAGCCAGTTCTTAACCATCGCGCCACTCGGCTGGCCCTACAATTTTTTTTTGGCCAAACCATTTGAAGGTATGTTACAGATGTTACTGCACTTCATCCCTAAATACCGGATTAGGACATTCTCCTAAGTAACCTACATAAATTTCACACATAATGAAATTAAATAATTCAATATCATCTAATATCCAGTTCATATTCAAATTTCCCAGAGTCCTCAAAATGTATTTTATAATTTTTCCAAACCAAGACTCAATCAAGATTTACCCAATGCATTTGTTATGTCTTTTGTCTCTTAATCTAGCACAGTCTTCTACTCTTTCTAATATTGACTTTTGATGTATTTAGGCCAGTTTTCCTATAGAATGTCCCACATTCCGGATCTATCTGAGTCTTTCCTCAGGGTCATTTTACTATAAACTAGAAGTTGGGTCAAGAGGCTTGATTATACTCAGGTTAAGCATTTTTGGCAAGGTTTCTTTATAGGTGATGCTGTTAATTCATGTTGCATCGAATCAAGAGACCTATAACGTCAGGTTGTTCCACCATTAGTGGTGCTAAGTGTGATCACTAGTTTAAGTTGATTACTGCAGAATTTCTCCATTATAAGGTATATCTTCCCCTTTGTAACAATTGAATAGTCTGCGGGGTGATACTCTGACACTGAAAACATCCTCCTTTTCCCTATCGCCTTTTACAAGATGGGTTTTAGCTTCTATGGATGATTTATGCCCGAATCACTGGGGACTGCACATGGCGATTTTTCCAATTCTATCAGTCCATCTACATTTATTGGCTGGCGTTCTTCAAAAAAGAAAAAAAAATCCCTTCCTCCACCCTTGATTTTGAATATCACTCTGGACTTGCAGATTTAAAAAATATATTCAATGCTTTGATAATCTATCACAGTCATTATTCTTTTTAGTATTCCAATTGACTCACATTTGGCTAGTGGAGTCCACTCAAACTGGTCTGTGAACTATGACTTGATCCTGTTCGTCTTGGGACACTTCCTTGCTTTCTGGCAAGATGTTCCAGGCTCACATTTGTGCTTTTGTACTTTCTGGGCCCGAGACTTGAGATAAACCATTTCTCTGAGAAATGCTGTTTCTTTTGCGGGGAATGGTATGTATGTATTTATTTATTTATTTATTTTTCGGGGAAGAATGGTATTTAGATATCAAGATATGGACACCCTCCACAGTAACATTACTTCTAAGACATATATATGAGCAGGAGGTGGTGGTAGAAGAGGGCAAAGGGGGTTAAATATATGGTGATGGAAGGAGAACTGACTCTGAGTGTTATAATACAATGCAATATATAGATGATGTATTATAGAAATGTATACTTGAAACTTATATAATTTACTAACCAATGTCACCCCAGTAAATTTAATAAATAAAGATATATATATATATCAGCAAGTCATCAGAGGGCTTCCCAAAAAAACTTTTGTTTTCTATTTTTATTTCTTTCCTCTTAAAAGTTTTAACATAAATATATTATTCACTTTATCTATGCTAGACATGAGTTTCAAAATTGTATTATCAATAGTGCCAGTAGCAATAAATCTGTGACATTAGAGACTTTTTGTTCATTTTGTCCTCAGAATATATCCCACTAAGAATGTATGTAAGGGTACTATTTTTTTTTTTT